GCTCCTGGGTTGGGGAATATGTACACACACACACACACACACACACACACACACACAGCTCCTGGGTTGGGGAATATGTACATGCACACACACACACACACACACAGCTCCTGGAGTGGGTGCTCACCTACTCTAGTTTTGTCTCTCACCTAGCTGGCCTCAGAATTGAGTTTACCTGGCTCCTTATTGACATCAGTTTTGTACCTGGCTAATAAATTACTTCTTTCCATCCTAAAGACTACAGAAGAAGCCTTCAGCAGTGCCTGTCTGTTTTAACATACACCTAGAAAAAAACCTCTGAAAGTGAAAGAAATTGTGCTCTGCAGTCCTCTGTTTCCATGCACATAAGGATGAGTTTAATTTCCAATTAGTAGCTCACCATTTTAGGAATACAGAAGTTGCTACTTGTGGTGTCTGTCCATATGAACAACCTGACTGTTAAGATTCATCAAGGAAGTAAAAGGCATAGGGACACACATGGAATCAGTTACAGTAATTTTTTTTTTATTGAGTTGATTGTTATTTTACTGGACACATGACAAGTCCATCAAAACATGTCAAAGCCCTGTTTTTATGGACAGCCGTATTTGTACCTTGGTCTAATTTTATGGGCTGTGATAATACTTCTATGCAAAGAAAAATATTAACATCAGTTCCATTTCAAACTGACAATTCAACCACATACTACTTGTAAGCATGGCCTTGTTCTATTAATAAGTTTATTAGAATTGGGTAAAAACGTATGAGACTAGAGTTGAAAACAGTACTAACATTTGTTAAGTGTATTGTACTATTTTTTTAAAGATGGTACATCTAGAAATATCTGTGAGCCATTAGTTTTATATGTTTTTAGTAAAATAATCATTTAAATGGATTAATGTAACTTTAGCTCTTTTAAATTTCCTAAAATATCTTCTGAATCCATAGAATACTTAGGGAAAAGGAGAGAGTTGCTTGGGGTCATCTACTGTAAATCTCCACATTAAAGAATTAAATACTGGTTCAAGTTCATTCAGGACATTTTCAGAGTGCATCAGTAGCACATTAATTGCTTAAAAGTTGAATCATTAACAAAAATATTTTCATGTTCCACAATTGATCTCTGAGACCATACAAGTGCAAGAAGAATTCATTTTCGTTTGGGGGAGAGATAATTTAACCCAAAGATATACTAAAGTCCTGTGTAACAAAAACATGATAATGGTGTTTTTATTACATTAAGGGAGATTACGGATATAAAAAAGAAAAGAAAGGAAGCAAGAAACTTACCATCAAACACCTCCAGTGCATCAAACTGCTTTTCACTTTGAAATGTATCCACAAAGATGGTGATGTTATAGTTTGGTTCCACTTTAATACTCCATGAGCACGTCTGGGAGTTAAAATAGTTGCCCGGGTAACCTGGGCTGAGGATGACTCCAGAAGATTCTGTCCGGATTTCATTTGCTGGGCATTGCGCTAGTGAGAAAAATACCAGTAAAAATTTTCCTTAACAAAATGAACCTGACTTCCATAGGAGAGTTTCTATCCCTATATTTACAAGCCAATGGTGGCAGCGGGAGAGGGGGTGTGGAGCTATCCTACTGAGCTGTGACCAAATTTAATACAAGAGACAAACACAGCAGGAGAAAACCACTGAATAATGAGTAATTATCATTTATAATAATTATACCGACCTATAATTTAAATGAGATTTATATACACGTATGTAATATATACGCCGATATACAAGGTGATTAGATAGATAGATCGCATTTACCTCTTTGATAGATCAAAGAGATTAAGCCGCTGACACCAGGGCAGCCAACTTTGATAAAGCGGTTGGTTGAAAGAAACCTGGACCCTGAAAGTTTTCTTTTTCTGGAAGTGGTGGCGAAGCACATCCTTGCCCCTGTTAACCCGTGTGAGTGAGGGGAGAAGCAGCCACACAGGAGTGGTTAAAACTACCATGTGCTTCTCGCTCTGTGACTGAATTGCCCACACACCTTCAACTGGGGCAGGGATCCTAGGATCCCATGTTTTCCCAACTCACCTTTTCTATGTAATATCGCAGAAACATTGTGCAATTATCTTCAGTAACAGAAAGTGATACTATTTATTTCTTCCTTTTAATATAATACTTTAATATAATTTAATACTTTTAATTTCATTTAGAATAGTAAATTTTAGGGGCACCTGGGGGAGTCATTCGGTTAAGTGGCTGACTTCGGCTCAGGTCACCATCTCATCGGTTGGTGAGTTCGAGCTCCGCGACGGGCTCTTTGCTAGCCTGGAGCCCGCTTCGGGGTCTGTGCCTGCCTCTCTCTCTGCCCCTCCCCGACCCACACTCTCTCTCTCTCTCAAATATAAACAAACAAAAAAGGAATAGTAAATTTTACACATGTGATTTGACTTCTTGGGACTGTGATAAGAGATGAATGAGAAAGTCCTGGTCCGAAAGTCATACTGCATCTTTGGGTTGTTACAGTGTTGAGTACGAGTAGTGATTTGTAAAGGATGAATTTCTCATAATGAGTCAGTTATCGATTTATCTTTATGAACGAATCATTAAGACAGTGTGGACACACTGAGCTGTGTGTCCCTTTTTCCCCTCCCGCTTTCCTTTTTGCTTTATTCAACTGCTTCCAGAGTCATTAAAATAAAACTGATCTGCACAGGTATGAACACACAGAAGAAAACCACCGGTATCACAATCACTAATTTATTTCAATGATAATTTCATTATCTTCCAGAAATGGTTTATTTATACAATTATGGAGAAAACAATTTTTCTCTATTGATCATGGTTCAAAAGTAAACAGAGATAATAGCAAAACTATTTATAAAATTTTAAAAAGTTAAATGATCAGCTTTTCCTCCATGAAAAAGAGATTTTGTTGCAGGAAATGTGTCTTATTTTTTGAATTATCTCCTTTTAATTAATCAAATTTATGTTATTAATTCATACATTTCAAAATAAAGACATTTCACAACCTGATAGGCAAATCACATGTAATATGTTTTGATTCCAGTAAGTGTCTGATAAAAGGGAACTTTTCCTTTTTTTTATCTTTCATTTGTTTAGTGTTCTTATTCTGTGTACCTTAAAATTTATAAAGTGTGTAGGCATAAGATCACCAAAGATGAAACATTTCATAGAACCCTTTTTTAAAGTTTATTTATTTTTGAGAGAGAGAGAGAGAGAGAGAGAGAGAGAGAGAGAGAGAGAGAGAAGCCCAAGCAGGCTCCATGCTGTCAGCACAGAACCTGATGCAGGGCTTGAACTCAAGAACAGTGAGATCATGACCTCAGCCAAAATCAAGAGTCAGACGCTTAACCGACTGAGCCACCCAGGTGCCCGAGAACCCTTTTTAATAAATAAGTATTTAGGTAGACTTTTAAGAATATGTGCAGTGTTAATTAATGGTAAGTTATATAAAAAATAATTCAAACCAAAACACTCAGCCTAAAGCAATTTAATTTAAAAAGTAATTTCTTCTGTGATAGTGGTAAGATCACCCCATAAAATCTATTATGCCCTTTCAAAAATGAACACATTGGCATTTTTTAAAAGAACACATTAAAAAACCGGACTTTGGGGGCGCCTGGGTGGCACAGTCGGTTGAGCGTCCGACTTCAGCCAGGTCACGATCTCGCGGTCCGTGAGTTCGAGCCCCGCGTCAGGCTCTGGGCTGATGGCTCGGAGCCTGGAGCCTGTTTCCGATTCTGTGTCTCCCTCTCTCTCTGCCCCTCCCCCGTTCATGCTCTGTCTCTCTCTGTCCCAAAAATAAATCAACATTGAAAAAAAAAATTAAAAAAAAAAACAAAACCGGACTTTGTATCTGGGTGTGTATGTGCAGGGCTTGGAGGTTCAGAGTCTCCACAGATCAGCCTTGACTTTGCAGCGAGAGCCAGGGCTAGAGGCGAATGAAACTACTCTCAAGGGTTATAATCAGATGAACACACGCAAACCCTCTCCTTCAGTCTGAAGCACTACACGGGCAGGTGTTTCAAAGCCTGGAAGGGTTTGACCACTTCCCTGCCTCTTCCTGAGGAAAGATGCCATTCCATTACCTTCCCTTCTGTGGTACGACCCGGGAGAAAGGTTTAGACCAAATCTCCTCTCTCTGATTTTATCCCGCCGCTATGGTCACTAGGCGACACTGGGCAGCAGATTGTCTAGGAGCAGACAATCCTCCCTAAGTTGCTGCCATCCACCCAGTGAGAGGACAGCCCTCCAGGGTTTGAAAGCTGTGAGTGGTGATAAATCAGAAACAGAATCTTTAGCTTAGCTATTTTCATTCCTTTCATTCTCAAATCCTGCTTCTGTTTCTTAGAGAAGACACAATGAAAGTATAGGTGCAATTATTTGTTTCCTTTGTCTTACAACACTCAACACTTTCTTTTTTCCAGACATACATACTGTTTTAAAATGCACTTGAATATATCTCCCTGGGAGTTAACGTGTTTTTGATTCATTTGTTTCTCTGGCTCTTTCATATGAGCCTCTTCCTTCCTGTCCCTCGCTCTACATCCTTGCTGGGAGTTACACGCACCCACAGCGGGGAGTTTGGAGACGGAGGGGCTCTCCCAGGGCCTGGCTGTTCATTTCTAGATCAGCATTCACGCCTTACACACATCCCGCGTCTCCACCGTCTCCCCCGGGGATCCCCCCCACCACGGGAAGCATCTGTTTGAGGTTCCCATCAAAGATGCCTCTAAAAGAGTGCGCCTCCCTGAGAAGGTCCCCTGAGCTTTGAGCCAGCCCACCTCGGCGAGAAGCTATTCCTTCAGCTTATTTTTGAAGAAAAAGAAAATGTGAGGCTTAAAACCAAAGCATATTATTGAATGCATCTTGCGGGCCTTCAGCAAAAATAACGCAGTCAAGCATTAGGCTTTGTAAATAATTAAAACTAATTCTTAAAAGCACCCGGAGGTCTCAGAGAATTGTAAACAGAGAACTCTATAAACAAGTGGGAAAGCTGCGACCCAGAGCCCTGGACAGGCATGTTCTGGTCTCGAGCTTTCCAACAAATGGCCATTATCTCAAGGACGCTGGTTGTCTTTAGCGTTCGTTGAAAATACAGGTTTCTGATTTCTTTGTAATTGAATATTTTAAAAACTACGGATGGATTTGCACTGTCCACAGGCTGAAGCCACCTGATACTGAAGGCCTTTTAAAATGCGGCCCCATGTGTAGTTTCCAGCCCACTTAATGCCACTTCCCCAACACACCCTAAGAGCAAAGTGTTCTCCTTTCCTCTTCTTTCCTGGACACCCCACGTCCTCTCTTGTTTCCAGACCTTGGTTATTACTCCTCTTCGGTTTTTGAAGGGCTTCTCTTTTCTTAACGTGACTCTGTTGTAAAACTTATCTGGTCTTTGTCCCAGGTTCCTGGCACAGACCTTCAAAACCCTTGGCACTTCGTGCATGTTGAGGATGTCTTGGTCAGGACCAGCCCCTTTGGATTACACCTGAGTCTAGGCCAATAAGGCGACTTGGGGTGGGTCCCTTGGTAGCCTCAGTATGGGGCTGGTCAGCAGAGAGAGCCAGTGATGAGTGGGCTGAAATTCCTGCCCCCTCACAGACTTCCAGTAGGACCATGGGCTTGGGGTTCAGAGGAGGGGAGACTGGCCCTATAAAACCTCTTATACCCCCAATCCAGGGCCCAGATGCTCATGTGCTGAGAACCCCTTTCACCCTGCACCCCGTGCCTCTTCATCAGACTATTCATCTGTACCCTTTATTACATCCTTTAGAACATAAAGGAAAAATTTTTATTTTTATATTTATTACATCCTTTAGGACATAATTACACCCTAAAGGATACAGAATATAATTCTTTATGATATAAAAAAATATAACTGATAGGGTACCTGGGTGGCTCAGCAGGTTAAGCGTCCAGCTTCAGCTCAGGTCATGATCTCACGGTTCGTGAGTTCAAGCCCCAGGCTGTGCTCTGTACTGACAGCTCAGAGCCTGGAGCCTGCTTCGGATTCTGTGTCTCCCTCTCTCTCTGCCCCTCCCCTGCTTGTGCTCTCTATCTCTCAAAAATAAACATAAATATAATTTTATATATATATTTTATAAATAAATATATATAATGTATATATGTATATAATATATAAATATATATGTGTATGTGTGTGCATATATATGTGTGTGTGTGTGTATATATATATATATGTATATATATACACACATATACATATGTAAATAAATGACACATGTAAATAAATGTTTCCCTCAGCTATATGGGTTCTTCTAACACAGGGTAAAACCCAAAGAGGGACCATGAGTACTTCTGGCCTACAGCGGGTCACTAAGAAGCACAAGGGATAACCTGAATTTGTGACTGGCCTCGGGAGTGGGGACAGCCTTGTGGGACTAAGCCTTTACCCTGTGGGGTCTGACCCTGCCTCCAAGTAGAGTATCAGAATTGAGTTCAACTGTAGGACGTTCAGCCAGGGTCCGGGGCGAACGGGAGAATTGCCTGGTGGTCTTGGGAAAGATTCCAGATCCTCATGTAGTGTTTTCTAAACGAGGATTGGTATCCAACAGGGTATAATTTATCTGCATAGGATGCTACCTTTCAAGGAACGAGTTGCTCCCACTGTTCGTTCCCAAGGAAGAATCAATCACCCAAAAGGTGGTAATAATTTTCCAAGTGGAACTTCTAAAAGAAGGATGATGACATGTGAAGAAGAAGGACTTGTAACTAACACAATTTTCTATCAATAATTTACTGGGGGATTGCCCACCCCCTCCCCTTGAGCCCAACCAACTGGTAGAAAGTACTGGAAGGAAGATTATCATTCAGTGATCAAGTATTTGATAAAAGACATGTGAGCCCCTATTTCCTTTATTTATTTACTTATTTTTTTAATAATGAGGATTTAGGGAACAGCAGCTAAGCTAACTCTCAGTCTGTTTTAAACAAATTTACTCCTGAATTGTAAGAGAAGAGAACTACACTGTCGTCTGTAGTAATTGCTACGAGTTCGGTAGGGCGCAAGACCCTCTGGCCCGAGCTGGGAGAACGTGTCTTGTTAGCAGAATTCTCCCCGCAGACGGGTGCGAGAGCCAAGTAATTTAGAGAATGGTGTTCATGTTGTCCTGATTTACTCTGTTCCTGGACTGTCATGAATTAATTTCATTTAAATAAAAAGTAGGTTAATCTTGGAGGTAGCCAACATAATAAAGTAATTTCCCTTATTTTTGAAGTGCGTGCTAAATAAATATTTATGCCTTTCTTCACTAATCAACTAAGACCGTCCTTGCTTAAAGTCATCTCTGTTGAGAAATTTACGGCTCTGTTCGTTGGAATTAAAATGTGCCTTAAAAACACACAATGCACCTCCATTAATTTTTATATGAAATGGGAAAAAAATCCACTGTAGATGGTTTTTGCTGACGTAACATGGTACCGACACACTGATTTTTTTTCCAAGAAAATAATGACTCAGTCTCCCGACCCAGCACCCCATGTGGCCCAACTTCAAGGGAGGCATCCTTGAAGCAGAGTTTCAGCACCTCCCACAACTGGGTGGGTCCTCTGGGTGTTTAAAGGGGTTTGCTCTCTGCCCACACCCACTGGCTCTCCCAATGACACAATTTGGAAGTAATTTTTCTTTGAATTAATCTGAGGTATCATGGTTGTTTAAAGCTGCTTCATTCCAGATCTTCCTCAGATGATGGTGAAAATTGTTTTCCTCTCCCCAGGTGACTAGGATTCTACCTCATTCCTAAGGAGAATGCAGGAAGTTAGTACCACATTCCACAAGAACCACACCACAGATGTGAGCACTTGTAAAATCGATACTAGCGTGGTACAAAGAAAGTTGCTTCTTACACGGCAAATAATTAACATTATGTAACACCTGGAATAATTTAGTATTCTCCGCATCTTTACCGCAATCCCATAAATAAGGCAGACCGACCATCCTCCTTGCACACGATGTCCAAGGGACTAATGATCCACCCAGGTCACTTGATGGGAGTCTGGACTGGGGCGCTGGGTGTTCCCTTCCTAACTTTTGACTGCTTCATTATCCCTAACGAATGATAGTGCTCAAATTCCTTGAAAGCGGGGAGGTCCCATTCTTTCAATGAATTGAATGTTTATTGTGATTTTCAAGTCACAAAATAAAAACTATTCTAATTTGGAAAACCCTTCAACTTATTTATATATTTTTTCCAGTGTTTTTTCTCCCAATACTAGTTGAGAGTGGAGCCTTTGAAATATTTTGAAGTTTGTTTTTTATTTATTTTGGTGGGGGGAGGGAATCCCAAGCAGGCTCCGCACTGTCAGCACAGAGCCCGATGTGGTGCTGGATCCCAGAAACCATGAGATCGTACCCTGACCCCAGATCACGAGTTGGACACCTAACCGACTGAGCCACCCAGGAGCCCCTCAAATATTTTGAAAAGTGATCTAATTATACTGTCTGTTATTGCCTACAGTCTATGTATTTTAAAGACATGTGAATACATGAAACGGGTGCATTTATTGTATGCAACAAACATACATTTCAACATTTGTAAATTTTACACAAAATACGGTAAACACTAGATAATTTTATGCATGCTAACGTATTTAGAGGGAAGTGTGGCGATGCCTGTAGTTAGCCTTGAGATGCATCAAAAATAGCGGATACATTAATGGATGGATAAAAGGAAGACAGACATGTGACAAAGGATACATGGTAAATATTAATGGTGGACCCTCGGTGATAGGTATTCAGATGCTTATTTTTAAATTATTTCAACATTGCCAAACATTCGAAAATTTTCTGATGAACTATTGGGAAAGACTTTGTGTTTGATAGGACTTTGATTTGTCTTTTAGAGATAGCTAAAAGAGAAAGGTAATTTTAATTGCAATGAGATCCTAACACAGACATTAAATTCAGAGTCATGCAAAAAGAACCAAAAGCCCAAATGTAGACCTATCCCAGCAGTATCATTCTCTGTGGACAAGTACATTGGCAGTGTTGAGCTGTGCGTACCTTCACACGTTGGGGGAGAGCCTTCAAACTGCAGCTGGGAACTGAGCCTGCAGGCCAGCGTGTCAGTCCCTACCAGCGTGTACCCAGGGTGGCACTGGTACTTCACAAAATCCCCTGCAAGAGTCAGCACAACAGACCTGGGGCTTAGCTTTCCACGACATACAGGGTGTGTGAACGTATTAAAGGAATACATGACCCCTTAGCAAATTACGTCAATGAGCAGACCACTTCCGAACCAACACCTGGCTTCAGTTTTAGTCTGTTGAATAAAATGGTAGCATTTTCACTTCTTGACTCACAAAAATGCTATCTTAACTGACAGAAAACCCATAAAAAAAAAAAAAAAAAAGGAACTAGACGCTTGGGATTTAAGGATGTAGAACAGAAAGGCTTTAATGCATCCAGAGAGGGCTAAACCGTGACCCTGCCCTAATTAGTGCAATGTTCCCATTAACTGAGCCACTATGAGTAACCAGAAATTGGGGCACGTGGTTTGACCAGTGGTCTGAAACGTGGTGTGCGAACAGGGTGTTGTATTTGTTATTGAGACAGAGAAATCCTGGGTCGTGGTAATTATACCACAAACATATGCCACGGCTGGTTTCCTAACGTGACCTGATGATTATTTAATGAAACAGGCCGTTAATATAGAATGATAAGGCAGAATTTCTAAATGTGATCATTAAATATATTCACCATTACATTCCAGTGTCAGTGAAAGGTCAATGTTATACTAATCATTATTTTAGCTGCACATGATTAAGTCCTTCTCGTGCATGAACATGCTTTTCTAACCAAACACAAATATCTGTGTAAGTCTGTCTCTGAAAACTTGACTCAAAAGAAAAACACAAACTAGAAAACGCCGGTGGGGGGCGGGGAGGGGGGCAGAATCAGGAGGCGCTCAAAATGAAAAAAATCCAAATTCACATTCAGAAAACGAACATCACAGAGATGAAGGAAGAAAGCCGTATTTATTCGATTAATAACCCCTGTGGATAAGCCCCTAAGAATGCTTTAGAATATTTCTGACAAGTACTCGCTCGCTTACTCATCCGAGTTAGGAGTTGGTGTAAAAAGGTGGACTGAGCTGATGGTATCGGAGTGAAGGAAACATTACCTATTTCAAAATCTTCATCCTCAGTAAGCATTTCTGCCTGTGGAACAGCCGGGGGAGGTTGGCATTTCTTGAGCTGAAATGCTAAACGGTTTATGGGGGAAAAAATTAACTGTAATTACATTTGCTGAATAAACAAAAATATTACTAAAAAGCATTCCTCTTATGTTGTTTTAATGCTTAGGGACACTGAAAAGTCTATATGTTTAAATCATCGCTTTATAAAATTCTCAAGCTTCGCATGCTTATGGGATCATTTCGTGCCAAAGAAGATATAATAAAGTCAAAGGGAAAGATGTGTACAGTTTTAAAAATTATGACATTGAAATAAAATCACTTCACATATACTTGGGATTCTGCCACAGAGATGGTTCACCCATGGCCTGGTGGCGGGTCCATATTTACATTTGATAAGGTCTCCCCCTGCCTCACATCTGAGGACCTCGGTGGACACAGTCCTTATGAGATGTCAGGTGCTGATACGCTGTTTTCCCAATTATTTGTTTTCAAAACCATTAGATCTGCTTTTGCCTCATCTGTAATCACATGACGCTTGCTACTTGCTCCCCCTGGAGACAGGGATGAGGAAATCCACAAAGGCACTCAATGTCTTTCAAGGGTCTCCATATCAGTTGTATTTGCAATCCACTTACCTTGGAAGGAATCCAAGCTTCCCATAAACCAGACGTGACATAATCAAATGCCATTAAGCAAAAGAGGATCACCGGAAACCCTGGCATGGAACTCAAGAAAATCCCCTAAGGCTCTCGCTGGACACAATCAAGGAACTTCAGCTGGAGAGGAGGGCTATGTCAACCCGACCAGCAAAACCAAACGCGATTCTCCACCTGCCTCAACAAGGTGAAAATGCACTGACCGTGAAAATTGAGAACAAAGAAGCCTCCATTTGAAAAGTCGCTGTGGAACTTGAGCAGGACTTGGTTGGTGGAGCTATACGCGGTTTCCAGGGCCGTATTCCCACTGAAAACTCCCAGCTGAGGTGAATTCTGATCAGGCCCATCCCTAGGGAAGAGAGAGACATTTGTTTGATGGAAAGCTCCTAAGTACAGCTGAAACTAAGGATCATTTTCTTCTCACATTTGGACTCTGTCCTGGCATCAGTGCGCTGGTCTGACCTGGGCTCCGGGTGACGGGACTGCCGTGCACACCTGAAAACTCAGGGCTGACTTCCATTCCCCCCACAGCTGACCTTTCCAGACCAATCACTGAGACACGTTCACATTCATTCTGGTGGCCGCAATACCACCTATCAGTTGCCTTTCAAACGTCTACATTTGAAAGTCTAAATTCAATGGTGTCTCTTTAATTATGGGTGAAATTTATGGAGATCTTGCAACGGAACTAAAAGATTTTCAAAAATTGCTTAAACAGAAAACTACAGTCCAAGGTGGAGTACCCTGCCCCATGAGTGCACGGCAAGACTGAATGCAGTTTCAACCCCTCCTGGAGTGAAATTTTACGCCAATCATTCAGAAAGTATCAGCGCCAATGAGGTCTCTAGGACTGTCTCCATCCACCCCCACCTCAAGGAAGAGGAGCTAATCTGCATGATAAGACCCCCCCCCCCCCTCCTTGCCTGAAACAATCCTTCCTTTTGCTAATGGCTTCTTGCCCTGCCCTTCTTCCCTTGGAAACCTTCCTTGGGCACACCTAAGTCCCCAAGCATCTCTCTACTTGCCAGATGGGATGCTACTCAATTCATGAATCATTTAATAAAGCCAATTAGATCTTCAAATTTACTCAGTTGAATGGTTATGTTTTTAACAAACCGAATAAAACACCACCACCTTCTGGACACTGTTTAGAAATACCGAGATGTGTAATGTCACAAAGTTGAAGAGACTTTTCAGTCTCTCGTTCATTAGTGTTCTTTGCAACAGGCACTCTACTTTGTTAAATATGAAGAGCCTTCGCTCCCATCTGCTAAATCTATAGGTTAATCCAGGTGAAACGGCTGATACTATAATGTTTGCCTTGCTCAATTTAATATTTCAAGTTCTCAGCTTCCTCCTCATTCCCTCAGCCACTGGGTCGGCCGTTATCACCTCCCTGCCAGAGTTATTTCTCTAGCCTCAAAAGCCGGCTTCCCCTCTTGCCCTCAGTTAATATATTTCCCACCAAGTGAGGCTGGGCATTCTGCAGTCAAGGTGATTCTCCTTCCTAAGACCTACTGAGTCCTTTTTGCTCTGAGAACTAAGTCTGGAATCCTTCACAAGATTTATAAGCTCCCGTATTCTCCGTCCTGCTCACTCGGACTCCCGTAATATCCGTATCTGAGATCTGCCAATAGCCTGAACTCACCCTGTTCCCTGACTTTACAGGCTTTCCAATAAGAAACCTTAACATTTATGCCGACTTCCCCAACAGGCACACACACACATTCGCGCATGCGTAGCATGTAGTTACCTGCCATTACTCCAGTTTTCACGGAAGTTCATCCTGGCAGCACATCGTGGATCTTTAACCCTGAGTTAAGCTCACCTCCTCACACCCTGTCCATGCCCCCTCCTTCTCCCACCATAGTGTCACAGAGGACCTGGCAATCTCTGTGTCCCCCATAACCTCTCCCTTCCAAAAGCAAAGGTAGGACAGTCATCCCCATAGACACGCAAAGGTAGCCCAGGGTCACACAGACAACTTACGCCAGGCCACATGGCTCGTTGGAAGGAGGACCAGGACCCAAATCCCCGCCCCCGTTTGCTGGCTCGTAGTATTTCCTACACATACGGAAGGGCAGCTCTGCAAAGTTCACAAAGGATGGAGGGAGGGCTACGCGCGATTATGTCTTCGCTATTTCCAGACTCATCAAGTTCTTATCGTGCCATTTCTTATCATACTTAACAACGTAAAATAAAATAAGCTTGGGATATTTTATATTCAGAGTAGCTGTGAATTTATCTACCATGGAGTAAAACTCAAACATGTGACATGACATTTATTCTCTGTATCTCCCGGATTTCATTGCTAAGTTTCCTTTCCCATATCCCCCTAATAATTTCATTTCTTATACGTCAATCTGACATACAAGCACCACGTAGCTGGCTGCAGGAATGGTTTAGCACAATCGCGTATCACTTTATATGAAAGGGCTCTCCTACCAAACAGCAATGTAATCGTTAACAGCTTCAGTCTGCAGCAAGGTGAAGTTGATGTAGACCCCGTGGCCAGGAGGTACAGTGATAAGCCAGAAGCAGTCCTTCAAAATTGGGTACTCATCGGGAAATCCAGGGGAATAAATGGTACCGTTCTGAGATGTTACATTATATCCGCAAGGAGCTGAAAAGGAAGCAGAACAATTAAGGTCCATATAGTCAGCTTTGGAAAGGACACAGTTAAATATTTCTAAGTCTCTAAAGCCCCTCCGCCGAAATTTTCCTTCTAAGAAATAATAATTGTGAAACATTTCTCAGTGACTACTTTGTCAAAGTAATTCCCCTGAAGTCTTAAAACCTTAGATGAATTTTACTTCCGAACTAAGTTATCTAAGTTCCATTTAATAGAGTCTCCAAACACTCAAAATCCCTTCAGGATGAAGTCATTCCCAGATAATTAAAAAGAAAAAAAAAAAAAAGCCCATACTCAGTTACCCAGTTATCTTGGGTGACTGAGCTGATAATCCATTGGCTATGTGATACAAGGGATTATGGAGAGATTATGCATAAATACATAATGGAAATTTTTCGTTGTTTTAAGTGAGATTTCTAAAACCTATTTAAACATCCAAGTCTCTTTGCCTAAACAAAAATATTATCAATTCTTGGCAGATCTATACCTGAAGAAATGGGAGAAAATTATGTAAGTCAAAGCATTTTCACATCTCACCAGCTTTCAGGGGTGTAAAGACTCACCATCCCCAATCAGTCCCTGTTTATTTTACTTAACGAACTGGCGTTCCCTGTTACCATGACAATTATTTTGTCTTATCTACGGAGAAATGAAGTGACTATATATTAGCAGGATAATCTGAATGCATTATTACATTCAGACAGTGGTATAATACATCAAGTCATAAACCAGTAGACTTTTTAATCAACCAAAATCCAATAGATGTGGGATGAGTGGCTGTTCCTAGCATGAATCTTCTTGGGCTTTCAAAGACTTGTCACCAAAGGTGTAAAATTTAGGTGGAGAAAACAGACCAAACTATGTTTTTAAAAAAAGAGAAAAACAACTTCAATAAACAATTCACAGTGCTGACCGATGACAGACATGCTCTCAGGCAGTATGGGACATCCGGCCTTAATCATGCCCCTGCGTACTTTTTCAGAGGAAGGAGAAAATGTTCCAGGGCACAACAGATGGAATCTGGTCCAAGTTTTGGAAAAAATCCATAGAGGAAGGGGCCTTAGAGAACATTCTGGAAGTTTTATGGCATAATTATTAATAAGTGGGGTTTGGAGTCAGGCAAAGCTTGCTTTGTAAACTGAAGCACACGGAAACTTATAATCTGCTGTCCCCAGAAAACTGTCATACGTTCTCTCGCCTCCAAGCATGATGCCAATATTCACCCTGCATGAATCTTTCAAACGCTTTTCTCCTACCCTGCTGCCAGGGTGGGCTGATCCCTTTAAGAACTCGACTCGAGTGTTACTGCCCCCTTAAAGGTGGTTTGGCCCTGGATGGCCATGGTTATTCACTTATTATGCGGCTGCAATTAGCTGTAGTTGTTCTCCACCGTTAGACCATCAGACTATTAGCAGTCAGAAGTCAGGGACTGTGTTCCTTTTCGTCTCCACCCACCACCTGCTTTCCTTGATCCCCACTGCCTAACTCAGATCACGATAAATAAGACAGAAGAAATGACTAATAAATTGAAAATGAATAAGACAATCACCACAAAATATTTTACGAAGGAACACATGGAAGTCAGTGGGCTGACAGACCTTATGTGGACCTGAGGTTATTGATGTGGTATTGACTTACAATCTATCGTCTCCAAGACTTCCCTTGTGCATTTTGACTTTTCAGATTGAACCTTATAATTGTATAACCACATTATACACAGTAGCACCCTTCCCAATGGTGATAAAACACAACAAAATAAGCAAACAGAAAAGGACTGTGCCACCTCTTAAAGGGCAAAAGAAACAATAGGGTGATTTTTCTGGGTAGGACACATTGCTGGCTTCTGAAGTTCTGGATGTCACTTACTAGCTCTAGGACATGGAGCAAGTCAGGTATCCTTGCCATGACTTGTGTATGATAGTCAAAGAATAAGTCTGCCATTAACTTATTCAATGAGTATTTATTGAGAATCGATTATGTACCAGGAGATGTGAGGTTAGAGCGGGGGACACAGTGGAGAACCACAGAGCGCTGCCTTGTGGAGCTTACTGAACGGTGATGAAGAAAGATACGAAGCAAATGATAAGTAAGTATAAAAGCCAACTTATATAAGTATGATGAGGGAAAGCACAATCACTGCTTGTCACATGAGCTAATAATATTCCACCGATGCATATAAAATTCCGCAAGGCAAATCTTGCCCTGCAGTCTAGAGAGAAAAGAGAGGTGACGTTTCCTTTAGCACTCTTCCTGGCCTGTTAGCCCGGAGAAGGCGTGGCCCTCACTGCAGTGGTCCCAAAGGCACACGGAGATCTGCACGATTGGGTGGCCTCTCACTTAAGGCCACAGAGACAGTAGATGTGGGACCTGACTCAGCAAGGCACGGATCCACCCTCTCCCCGAAGGTGAGGTTCAAAGTGGACCCTGAGCTGGAGATCAATCACGAAGCCTCCGTGGGGAGATCTAGACACAGGAGAATCAGTGCACCACAGCCAAGCAGAGGCACCTCCCGGCTTGCCACCATGTGCCTGGGAGCCTGGTCCCCGCAGCACAAGGACGGCACCCAGCTGGCCAGGAGAGAGCGCATCGACATCGGCATCGGCCGCACCATGCTTCACAATCAGAAGCCACACGTGCGACAGGCTCTTTTCCACTTCACGGACACAAAGACTAAATAAACACATGCTCATTTATATATTCGTGAGTGTACCTTTAATATCGTGATGCAGTTAGTAATTAGGAATACCTCCCTGCTCCTAGCACAGAGTTCCAGAAATCCTTGGATAAAAGTTATATGACAAAAGAGATAAAGCTCTCCTTCGTTATTCATAGCAAGACCCTTCCAACCACAGCAGCGCTTATGTTAATGAGACGACTTGGAAAGCACCAAAGGAAGGGGTCTGGAGAACTTCCCGATGCGTGAACACTTGGGGTGCTGGGAAGATGGCTCAGCTGGAGAGGACAGAACCCTCTGCTCATCTCCCAACACACAATCAAGGACCGTGTTCTTTTTCATCCCCACCCACGACCTGCTCTCATTGATCCCCATAGCCCCCTGCGTCTCTTCAATCTGGCGCTTGCCCAGTCACGTCCTGTGTAATAAACCTGGAGGCGCGGAAGTACAACGTTTTCCTGAGGTCTGCGGGTTGCTCTAGCAAATCAGTCCCATAGGAGGAGGGAGTCGTGGGGACTTCTGATTTACAGCCCATCAGTGAGAAGGGCAGGTGATAACCCGGACATGCGACTGGCATCCAAAGTGGGGGGCAGGGCAGGGGCCGCCCCGCGGGGCCAGGGGCTTTCCCCGGGGAGACAGTCAGAACTGGGTTCCAACGGAGGCTCTCCAGCAGTGTCACAGCATCACTTGTAGGAAAAAGGCACAGACGGTGGCCAGGAGTGCCAGAGTGAACGTCGAGTGTCACACAGTATGCACACGCAAATCAACAACAGGTTGTGAGAAAGGGCTGCCGTGTGAAGTATGATTAATGAGAGCTCTCCAGTTATCTCTGGATGTATTTCTCCAGAGAAAACTATGTACATAAAGAGAATTAAGGTATCTTCTTTCATCACCTCCTAGAGCTAGCATTCGCTACCCTGACCAGGATGGAGGTGACGACTTCTCTGAACGCCTCATTCAATGTGAAATGTAGTCAGTGCCTATCTGTGCCTACGTAGCCTTCACCTCACCCTCACTTCCTACCCGACTCCGCTGTAATTTGAGAACGTGAAGCTGTGAGGTGGCTGGGACAACAAGGGATGGGTGTGTTTCGCCAAGTCAAGCTCCCGCGCAGCCAGAAGATACTGGAAGATGAGCTGGTGGCCATGGTGGACGTAGGCATGGGGAGGTGGAGAGACACCGACCCTTCGTGTTACCTGAGGCTACACTTGGAAAAATCAAGGGGCACTGACACATCTCTTTATTATGCTTCTTCCCCACAACACATGTACCAAGTGACTTTCTCTGAACTGAGATGGATAGAAAGAGCTTATTAAGTTGTTTCAATCAGAAATTAAAATTTAAAAACCCTAAATATCCACTAGGACAGTTATAGATAATTTATGGATGGTTTTCTCCAGGATTATGTCCAGATTTCTGCCTAATGAGAGCATGAAGAAAAAGCTTACAGTACCAAACAGCCAATACCTACATTTGGCATGAATATTTATGAATTTTAAACTCTTGACTATTAATGTACCCAGGAACCGAATGCCTAATCTCACAGAATGTGTGCAGCGCCGTAGGTATTTCTGACCTATTTTGTTTTTCTTCACTTTGGTTTCCTTATGATGGTTTTGAGGTAGACACGCTGTGCTCTATCTTAGGAACTGTTTGATAATGGGAGTATTTAAAATAATATTTATGAATACAAGCTAGTTGTATTCTTTAGAATGTCATTCTTATTCTAAACTAGTAGGAGAGATTATTTTCTATATTTATCAATCAACTTGATAAACCTTAATTTTCAAAACTATGTACATAATAACATATTCTTTGGCTACTTGGATTCCACATGTCAGTTAGGGTTCTGCAATTGAATAGGGTTCTGCTCACAAAATCATTCAATCTAGACATAGTCACTAATACACTAATTGCAACACATTTTAATCCTAAAAATCATCTCTGTCCAGATAGTTCCCCATCAACATCCTACTGCACTTTAAGGTGAGGAATATCCTGACGGTGCTTAACTTTAAATATACTTAAAAAATTTTTTTTTAAGTTTATTTATTTATTTTGAGAGACAGAGAGAGCATACAGGGTAGGAGCAGAGAGACAGGAGAGGGAGAGAATCCCAAGCAGGCTCTGCAGTGTCAGCACAGAGCCCGATGCGGGGTTCGAAAATTAACATCATGACCTGAGCCGAAATCGAGTCGGGTACTTAACCGACCGGGCCACCCAGGCACCACGACAGTGCTTAACTTTAAAAATGATCTTAAGGGGCGCCTGGGTGGCCCAGTCGGTTGAGCATCCGACTTCAGCCAGGTCACGATCTCGCGGTCCGTGAGTTCGAGCCCCGCGTCGGGCTCTGGGCTGATGGCTCGGAGCCTGGAGCCTGTTTCCGATTCTGTGTCTCCCTCTCTCTCTGCCCCTCCCCCGTTCATGCTCTGTCTCTCTCTGTCCCCAAAATAAATAAACGTTGAAAAAAAAAATTAAAAAAAAATAATAAAAATGATCTTAAAATTATATCTATATAAGTATTTTGGTAAGAGAAGATTAATTAGGTAAACAAAATATCTAAAAATTTTAAACTGTATTTGTAAGTAGAGATGCATATTTGATTATCAAATTAATTTAGTAAATCAATAAACAAGTTTTTTAAGCCATATTTTAACAATTATAATCCATTTTTTAACTGGGACTTCTGTATAATTATGTTACCGGCAAAAATAACATCTTGAATTTCTCAAGTCACTTTGAGACCTTTTTTTTTTCTTTTTTAATAGGTATCGTACTTTTATCGTACTTTATCTAATATTTAGAATTCTTGAGCCATAATTGTCTGAATTACTCAGTCTTTACTAAAGTTGCCAGAAGTTGTTCATAGTATCTCTGTTCTACCCCGAGAGTCTCCTGAAGTGGACGGGCTGGATGTTAGAAGATGGTTTTCCAGTGTATTTGTCCGATACACCAAGAAGAAGCCTGAACTGAAAAAGCACGCTGGATAACCTAAATGCATTTCAGGTTGAGTATGCTGGGCAATCGGACCTTGCCGGTGTCCTGTGTGGGCTTAACCATAGCCTACATGGACCCCGACAGACCTCTTAACAGCCCACCGTGCTTAGCAAACACTCTTTTTTTCTTATCTCTTTTTGTAAATACAACCTTTCACACGTAAAAATACCTTTTGTTATAAAATATTATCCTCCGTTTATTTTGTGTTTTTTTTGGAAGTTAATCCCATATGGAAAGGATATTAAACACACATTGGACACTGCTTAGAAAATGTAATTTATGATATAATTTTATATGAATCTTATGTTTTATTTTGTCTTATTCTGTGACATTATAGATATGAAGAGAGACACGACGGTAAAGACGCTCGTGCAGTAAAGCATTTGACCTTGCCTCTGGAGAGCTCTAGCCCTCTGTTTGGGAGGGGGTTTACCGCACACCCGATAGGAGTGTCTTTGCTTCCTGGGGGGTTGGAGCGTCGAACTCAATAGTTCCAGGAGGGGGCAACCCATGCCGGAAGTACCAGCCACGTGACCGAAGGTGGGGCCTTTGCGTCACAGGATGTCAGCTGGTCTGGAAGCTGACACCAACCACTGGGCAATCCAGCCATCAGTCCTGCCCACCTAACAGAGCCCGGATGAAAATCTCTGGGCACCAACACCCAGGTGAGCTCCTCAAGACACACTGTCACCAGTCAGCTGTGAGACGGGTGCATCCTCCCGTACTCTAAGCATCTTTTCCCATGATTTTAATGTGTCCTTTCCTTGTTATAACCCACAACCAGAGTATGTAATAGCTGTATTATTATACAATAGATAATATTATATATAATAGAGTATATAATATAATAAAGTTCTGTGAGTCCTTTCAGTGAATTTTCCAACCTCAGGGTGGCTTGGGGACAAATCTCCTATTTTCAGGTGCTGTCGGGAGCCCGGGGCAGACTTGGATGTCTGGAGGACTTCCGCGTCAGCGTGGCCAGCTCTGGGTAGTATGACGTATCATGTTGTCATTGTAAGAGGTGGCGTCCCCTTTAAGCTACGTCACAAACAATGTATTTTGTTATTTTTCATGCTGACAAAATAATTCTAAGCCAGCATTTATTTCTGTATTTGAAAACTTCGCTTGAAAAAGTGATGAAGCCTAATTAACGATTTAGTTCTACTTTTTAATATCAAGCCAAGAAGTCCTCGTGCATAGATGAATTCAAAGGATTCAGGGGAAAATTCCAATTAAGAAAAGGGTTTAATCATGACAATCCCAAGTATTCTATACATATAAAAAAATGAGTTTTTAAATGGAGAATAGTAAAAAAAAAAAAAAAAAAAAGTTTTTTAAAGTTTTTTTTTAGGTTTATTTATTCATTTCGAGAGACAGAGCAAGTGAGTGAGCTGGTGAGCCTGCACAGGTGGGGGAGGGGCAGAGGGAGAGAGAGAACCCCAAGCGGGCTCCCGGCTGTCCGCACAGAGCCTGAGGTGGGTTCCATCTCATGAGCCATGAGACATGACCTGAGCCAAATCCAGATTCGGACGCTTATGTGACTGAGCCCCCCGGGAGTCCCTTAAATGTTTTAATAAAAAGCACCAGATATGCTACTGCTATATTTAGTTTTATAAAAAATTTTTTTAAATGCTGTTCTATATGTTATTAAATTTGCATCAGACTAAGGATCTTTTAAAATACAGCTGAAGTTTCTTTTCATAGTTTTTAAAACAATAACATAGAATAGAAAAATACAGGTGAAAAATCTAATTTAAGAAGTCCACTGGTGGTGTTTTTTTTTTTGTTTTGTTTTGTTTTTTCGGTTTATTTTTGTTTGTTTGTTTTTACTTTTTCAGTAGAAACAGAAACCCAGCGAGTTGCCGTTCCCTTTTGCCCCCTGGGATATAAATGTTTAGCATTTCAAATGACCACAGAGTTGGTAATTTCATTATTTTTTTCACTCAAAGGGACTGTATTATAATGTTAGAATACTAGACTTTCAGTAAATTTTGTTTCATATGCTTTCTTCATCAACAACATGCTTGATCTGCTAACTTCAACTTGATATTACATACATTTTGAAATCATCAAAAAAAAAAAAAATCAGGCTGCCATACAGAAGCTTTAAAGAAGTGATTTCTGCTCCGACCAGGGCTATTTGATGAATCCAGACTTCCCTCCATCACCACTGACGGTCAAGCTGATTCCCAGCCCTCCAAAGAAACCATGATCATCCTGTACTATTGAGCTGCGACTTTCCTATGACTGTCTCTCCAGGATGTCTTTGCTTTCATTATTCTTTCTACCTCTGATGCCCTGTCTCTGAGTAGCAAAATAGTACGTATGCTCCAATGCCCACTAAAAAACAAAACCCATTTCCCGAAATACAAAAGCAACACATGATAACTGTGAAAGCTAAACAATAAAAAACATCTAGGGTAAAATGAACGAGCATTCTTTCTTCCATTAATCCTGTAATTTGGTGGAACCATCATAATTCTAAATACCACTACCATCATAAAGATGTCCCTGATCACTTCCCAAGCAAATGCCATCCTTCTTCATGCAATTCTTATGTCTGGTTTCGCATTATAAATGTGTTTATTATTTTGTTTCCTTTATAACAACCATTGAAGGCAAGGCCTATTTGTTCATCTTTTTAACGTACTGGCATATGATATTCCTGAGACACTAGGTAGAAGGAGTTTACCATAATAGATCGCTAATAAATATTTGTTGAATAGGTGAACAGATTCTCTAAAACATCCATTTAGTCATTTAATGCACTATTATATACATGGAAAATTACATTATTGCCAAGAACGGTTAACCTACCGTCACATCTCGGAAAAGGATAATTCCAGTCTCGGTCGATCCCGTGCTGACAGGTGAGGACTGGGTGGCCGATTAAAATGTACCCAGGGTAGCACTCAAAGGATATGGACTGTCCCACACTATAGTCCGAGTTGATCATATAACCATTCTGAAAAGGAGGTGGGTCCGGGCAGTTCTGTAACTCATAGGCTGAAACGGACAGAATCAAGCTTATGTAAGAAGTTAGGTTAGTATGGAATGGACAGTCCTGGGGTCATGGGCAGTTTATTAAGATGGATGTTTCCAGCAAGTTTTGAAAAGTATATTTTCTAAGTTGCCACTTACCATCTAAGTAAAACAATTAGTAGCAGTAACAGAATTAAAACACTTAATAAACACTTGACTGTGTGCTTTAGAAGTAGTAAAGCACAAACCAAACATAAATTTGACAGCATTTACCTTGGGGGAAAAAAAAAGTATATGAAATGAATTGACTTTTTTAAAAAGGTAAAATAAATGATAATAAAAATTGTCTGTAAAGAATGTCAGGTGAATGTGGACTTAATTTCCCTTTAATTTAGAAGCGAATTATACTAGCACTCCATTCTAAGGGTTAATAACTAGGAAATACGGAGTTATGTTTTGATTTGTTCATTAATTGTCTGTTACAAGTAAAATGTAAAAATCAACTTCATTTTCTTATTTTTTTGAAAAAAGAGCCCACAGAAAAATTGTACCAGCAACCACTATCTGTACAATGTTTTTTTTTATAAAATCTAGTTTATGTAGTAAATAATACATATTTATATTTTGCACGTAATAAGGATACTGTGCAGTTGATACGGTGTCTTTGCAAGTTCCAATGTTGTGAGATAAATTTAGAAATTTTAACAGCATGGTTAAACCCTCACTGTAGTCAGCAGATTAAAAAATCCCTTTATTTCACAATTTCACTTCATTTCACATTTTACTTGGCTTTCCTTATTTTTATATTTGCAATTGGATGTCCCTGGACAAGAGTCAGATAAGCAGCTAATGACTGACGGCAGGCAAGAAGCAGAAATCAGAAGGGGTACCAGGGCAAAGGCCTCTAAGCCTCTTGGAGTCATTTATGGTGCTGGCTCCTCTGGGGGCTGATACCAGGAAGAACCTGGAGGTAGACAAAGGCCCCCCCCCGAAAAAATGGGGCCTCCGTGAATCTCCAGCAGCTGCAGACTTCCCCTCTGGTGTCCACTGTGCAAGCACAGGACGAGGGCTGTCTCCTCAACAAGATCAGAGTGGACGTCACAGACGTGGTTTATGCAACGAGGCTTTATCAACTGTGATGTGCTAATAATACATTTATTCCATTTTATTTGTAATGTGCTTCATTATTTTTTTTTCAATTTTTTTTTCAACGTTTATTTATTTTTGGGACAGAGAGAGACAGAGCATGAACGGGGGAGGGGCAGAGAGAGAGGGAGACTCAGAATCGGAAACAGGCTCCAGGCTCTGAGCCATCAGCCCAGAGCCTGATGCGGGGCTCGAACTCCCGGACCGCGAGATCGTGACCTGGCTGAAGTCGGACGCTTAACCGACTGCGCCACCCAGGCGCCCCAGAATGTGCTTCATTATTATAGGGAGTTGCACCTATCATACATTGAGAATAAGAGGAAAAAGCTTGCTGGAGTATTTTTAACTCAATGCCATCTTTTGACACATAGGCTTTATAACTCAGTATGGAGATAGAACTTATTTATACAAAGTCAAACAGTTTAGCATTGTATAATGAGTTTTTGGCACTCCTTTTTGGTGAAGCTAAATTATAACATGAAATTTCTGAGACAATAGAAGGAAAAATCACCTATTTAAGGATTTATTCCAGATCAATAAGCATCATAAGCACAATTATTATTAACAAAACACAAAGCTCTAGCCCTCTTTTGCCAAAAAAAAAGTGCTTGGAACTCACAATTTTGGCATTTGCAATCCAGCATAAAGACAATAGCTGCACGTTCTACAGAGGTGTTTTCCAAATTTTTTTTCTGCATCTCAGAAGTAAAATATCTTATTGTTGAAAGCTCCTGCCTAGTACCAGACTTCAAGGGGAAATAAATCTATAACTGTTCCAAAGAAAAGAGCATTCAAACCTGAGTGAAAGGAAAACATGTCTGGAAGGAAAGTACGTCAAGCATCAGAGTGGCAAGTCTCTCATTTTTACTTGCTTTTGGAATGTTACCACATCCTATTTGAAAACCAGAAGCTTGGAAAACTGTGCTGGTGAGTATAAGGACAGGGAATGTCAGACCAGAAAGCCAAAACCAATCGGCACGTCTTTTTCTCTTTGCACTACACGTGCATGAACACACAGGTGCACACGCTGTGCACGCACGCATGCACACACACACATACAATGCACACAAACACCACACACGTACGCACACATACACACTCCCACACCTGTACACGTTTATGCACATACATACACACGCACGCACACAGAAATACCACACATGTATGCACACACACTCACACATCCGTACATGTTTATGCACATACACACACGCGCGCACACAGAAATACCACACATGTATGCGCGCACACTCACACATCCATACATGTTTATGCACATACATACACACAGAAATAATACATATGTATGCACACACACTCACACATCCGTACATGTTTGCACACACATACACATGCACACACACACTCACACATCCATACACGTTTATGCACACATACGCACACACACGTATGCACACACACACCTGTACACATTTACACCGTCATATGCACAAACACACACTGTCTATTTCTTCATTTCCTTACTGTGCTCCTTCCTGGGCCAGCGTGGCAAATCCACAGCCAGTCACCCACCTCCCCCAAGGGCCACCTCGCCCTGAAAGCCATAAAAACAGCCTTTTCCTGAAAGCCAGCGCCAAATGGCCTAGCAAATACCCACAGTGCTTGTAATGTTGTTATTTGAGCTCAAATTTACTTTATCAGAAGCAGGTTCACAAAGAGAACAGAGAATCCCATACTGGGCTCCAACTGTCAACCAATTTCCTTCTTTATAATACTCTTTGAGAATGAAATCAGCAGTTCGTTCTCATGCTTGTTTTGCTTGAAGCATAATAAACTCTGCTGGAGAAATGGGTCCTCTAATGTATCACATACAACTGCTAATAAAACCTTTATATATACATACATATATATGTATATAAATATACATCAAAACTGGATGGCGGTTTCCACGTGAGCAGAATCAAGACGGCGTTCAACGGAGCACCTCGTCGGTGAAAGATTCTAGCCATGGTTTAGCAGGGCCCTCGGGGTACCAATGAAAACAGTGGGAAGCGCGGATGGGTGCTCTCACAGAGAGTCCTTTTCTTAAAGTTTTTTCAAAGCTTATTTATTTATTCGAAAGATAGAGTGTGTAAGCGGGAAAGGGGCAGAGAGAGGGAGAGAGACTCTGCATTGTCAGTGAAGAGCCTGATGCAGGGCTTGAACTCACGAACTGTGAGATCATGACCTGAGTGGAAACCAAGAGCCGGACGCTCAACCAACTGAGCCACCTAGGGGCCCCAGTGCAGAGAGATTCCTAATGAACTGTCACGGGAAACAGCCCGTACCACATGTAAACTCACACGGGTCTCCTCACAGCCTTGCCACAGGGAGGGTCGCTCTAATTTGCATCAGCGTCCGTGTGAATGTGACTTCGAACCCTCCCTCAAGAGCTTGGTTTCCCGCTCCTTGGAAAAATGAAGGGGGTTCCCAGGAGCCACAGAGCCACATGCAGCAGTCCAGAGAATTCCCGAAGTGCACGCACAAGGATGCTCCCTGTGTCCCACACTGGACGTTATGATGGCTCCAATGGCACATCGGTCTTCTTTTGTAGAAGGAAACAAGGATATGACCCTGTTTCTCGCTCCTCAGTGAGACTGAACGTTCTTTATTGGTTATCTGAACTCCCCATACCCGTCAGTGAAGCCAACCTACATCATCCCCGAGGTGACAGCCAACCCCATGCTCTGGGGGCAGCCCAAAGCCTTGGCTGGGGGATGGCTGACCAAGTCGCTTGCTCCCAATTGTGGTTACAATCGCGTCTTGTGCTTTGAGCAACCGCGGGTGGGTGCTCGGCAGACCTTCTGCGTGAAGACCTTTACACTGTGGAAAAACTCTTATTTTATTTCAGTTTTTTGAACGTTCACTTATCTATGTTCCGGGAGGGAGAGGGGGGATGGGGAGGGCCAGAGAGAGAGGGAGACAGAATTCGAAGCAGGCTCTGCCTACTCTCCACAGTGCAGCCCATGAACTACCACTGGAGGCACTTTCTCCATCTTGGCCAGGTTGCCCCAGAGTGGATGGGAAGTGACAGAACTCTAAGTTGTCCGCTATTTTAAGCATTTGGACGTGTCTAAGGAGCCTCCTGCAGAGAACTCGATTCATTCACTCAGAGGGGTGGAAAGGGCAGAGTAGACCCGACCTTGCTCTTGTTAGCTCAAGGTGCCTCAGGGTATCGTGGTCAAAGGAAAAAGGACACCTCAGTTTTAGAAGCACATCAATTTCATGCAGACAAGTATGTTCGTGTCCGTAAGGAATGGGCAGTGGGTTCATACAACCAGCTACAAGCTACCCTTCCCGGGCTCACTGCACAGGAAGGTGGTTTGATTGCTTCTCCTCCTACAGGGGAAGGATCACTATCTACTATCGACAGACTAAAGCCTATTTTCTCATAGATTCAATTCACTTAAATTCAAGAGTTTTATGAGTGAATAAATGGAGAAGCGGATTAAACATATCTTTAAAAAAGAAAAAAGATGCCTGGGGCACCTGGGTGGCTCAGTCGGTTCAGCGTCCGACTTCGGCTCAGGTCATGATCTCACAGTTTGTGGGTTCAAGCCCTGTGTTGGGCTCTCCGCTGATGGCTCAGAGCATAGAGCCTGCTTTAGATTCTGTGTCTCCCTCTCTCTCTGGCCCTCCCCTGCTCGCACTCTGTCTCTGTCTCTCGCTCTCTCTCAAAAATAAACATAAAACATTTTTAAAATACAAAAATAAAGGTGCTTAGTACATATAGCAAAAGGGAAAAGAAAAAGAGTGCAACTTCGAAAAAAAAGAAGACATTTTTACTTCCTATGCCTAAGGTACTTAAAGTTACCTTTAAGCTTTTTGGCATTACACTATTCTATTATTTTTTTTTTTAATTTTTTTTTTCAACGTTT